TGTTCTTGAATTGGCAGAATTAATATTGTTAAAATGGCCATATTAACAAAAAGTTTCTTCACCAAACTAGAACAAAAAATCTTAAAATTCTTATTTCTTAGATATCCAAAGCAATTCTGAACAAAAACAGTAAAGCTAGAGACATCACAATATCAGATTTCAAGTTATACTACAAAGCCATAGTAACAAAAACAATATGGCAGTGGCACAGACCAGCAGAATAATAGAAGGCAAAGAAAAAATCCCATACACCTAGAGCCATCTGATTTTTTTTTTTACAAAAGAGCCAAAAATACATACTGAAGAAAATATAGCCTCTTTTAACAAATGGGGCTGGGAAAACTGGATATTCACTTGCAGGAGATTAAAACTAGATCCCCATCTCTCACCCCATACTGATATAAGATCAAAATGGACCAAAGACCTAGACATAGAAACAGAAACTGAAACTGCTAGAAGATAATATAAGAGAAATGCTTGAAGTCATAGGCACAGGTAAGGACTTCCTGGACTCCAAATAGAATAAGAAATATTATCAAGAATCAATGATAGCATTATAACAAATTAAAAAGCTTTTGAATAGAAAGGAAACAATCAACAGAGTAAAAAGACAACCTACAGAACAGCAGAAAATTTCTGCTAACTACTCCTCTGATAGAGGACTAATATCTAAAATATATAAAAACTGAAAAATGTAACACCCCCTCCAAAAATGCGTAAAAATGAACAGAACTCAAGGCCATCATGCTAAGCAAAATTAGCCAGACTCAGAAACTTAAATACACAATTTTATATGACAAACCAAAATAAATAAATGAGTAAAATAAAGGAGAAAATAACAGATAGATGTTTGGCAGTGAGAAAGGGGATGGGGAGCAGAATGGTGTAAAGGGATTGAATTTTTTTTTAATTGTCAAAGGACCTGAACAGACTTTTCTCTAAATATATACAAATGATCTATAAGCATATGACAAGATTCTCAACATCACAAATCATTAAGGAAATGGAAATCAAAACCACAATGAGGTTTGCCTTATACCTATCAGGATGGCTACTATTTTTTTAAAAAACCACAGAAAATAACAAGCATTGGCAAAGATGTAGAGAAACTGGAATGCCCACTCCTCTGATAGAGGACTAATACTGTGTCCTTCACACTGAGCTCCATCTCTAGTGTTTTTTGCATTTTGAGACAGGGTCTTGCTAAGTTACTAAAATCACTAAGTTGCCTAGGCTGGGCTCGAGTTTGCAATCCTCCTGCCTCAGCCTCCCAGTATGCTTAGATTACAGGCATGTACCACCATACCCAGCTGAACCTTGTACATTCCTATTGAGAATGTAAAATGGTACAAGTGCAATGGACAATAGTTTAGTGGTTCCTCAAAAATGTCAACATACGGAGATTTCTTAAAGATTAAAAATTAAAATTAAAAATTCCATATGACCCAGCTATCCCCTTCCTAGGTATCTTCTCCAAATTCCTTAAGACACCAAATTATAGCGATACATGCATACCAATGTTTACAGCTGCACAATTCATAATAGCTAAATCCTGGAAATGGCCTGTATACTCATCAACAGACAATTGGATAAAGAAAATGTATCTATATATAATGGAATAATACTTGGCTATAAAGAACACAAATTTGAAATATTTGTAGAAAAATGGATACACTGGAAAATATGTTGAGTGAAATAAATCAGAGATACAAGCTTAAATACCATATGGTATCTCTCATTTGAGTAAGGCAAAGTACAAACTAAGAGAAAAATAAAGGAAGGATAGAGGGAGACAAGGGGATGGATCTCTTGCATGTGGAAAGGGTCCAGGAGACCAGGGCAAGGGGGACGGGATGAGCAAATAGGGACAGTGAAGATTTGCCAGGTACAGGGTCCTAACAACCTCAATGGAAGTGGACATGGCATGCCATAAACATGAACTGAGATTAATAATGTCAACAAGAATGACAAGGAGGAAAGAGGAATTAGGGGGAAGGAAAGGGGGGAGGGGACACAAAAAAGAAGCAACAAGCTGTATTATGTACATGTACCAACTCCCCTAAATGACTGTAAAATGCATGTACTACAAACATATACTGATGAGTTCTTTTTAAATGTAAACACAGAATTACCTTACAATCTAGCAATTCTGCTTATGGATAGATACACAGAAGAAGTGAAAACAGAGACTCAAAAAGCTACTTACACACCTATATTCACAAAAGCATCATTCACAACAGGCAAAGAGTGGAAGCAACCTGAAGATAAACAGAATTAGACAGATTTACAAAGAAGTATTATTCGGCCTTAGAAAAGAAGGAAATTCTGACAGATGGATGAACCTTTGCTGAGTCAAATAAGCCAGTCACAGAAAAGATAATTACTATATGAGGTATGTAAAGTAGTTAAACTCATAAAACCAAAAGTAGAATGTTGGCTGACAGGGAGTAGGGGCAGGGAGTAACAGAGTTATTCTTTAACATGTATAAAGTTTCAGATTTGCAAGTTGAAAAGAGTTCTAGTAAGTGGTGGTGGTGATGGTTGCATAATAATATGAATGTACTTAGTCTTACTGAACACTGAACAATGGTTAAGATGGTAATTTTATATTTTACCACAATTTTAAAGTAAAGCTTTTCACACCAATAAATTTAATGTTTTAATACAGAAACAATCTGAAGTTAATACCCCTAACTTAGAAACCTAGTCACATTTTTTAAAAATTTTTTATTAGTAGTATATGTTTGCAGTACATAATGATTGCATTCATTGTGAGGAATTAGTACATGTACATAACACACCTCAATTCTTTTTTCTTCTTCTCCTCCACTCCCTTTAAAAAAATTTTTCTGGCCAGCATCTGATTATTTTTTCTTATTAATAAAGCATATTACCTCTCAATTTTAACATGCACAAAATGCTATAATATGCATTTTATATATTATTTTACAGTAAAGGTATAGTTAATTTCTAGAATTGAAAATACCTAAAAAGAACACCTAGACTGGTGGAGAAGCTATGGTATGCGTGCTGCAGCAGGCTGTTCATATCACTGAAAGTTCTGAAAGGTTCCCCATCAATGCCCTAGGTATACAAAGATTACATTCTGTGAAATTAATGTTCCTAGGAATAATTATAAAAGAATGTATATGGAATTATAAGATTACAACAAAAATAACTTCATATCAAAAGCTACTGCTTTGTTTCACATTAATACTTCCTTTTGTTTGGTGTTAGTACTTTCTTTTGTTTGGAGAATTCCACAAGATTGCACGGCAATGGAAAGAACCATAAATTGTACAGCCAATCTTTCATCACAATGTTACCTAAAAACTGCTGGGCTGAATGCTAAATGTAGTCCAGCACAGATTCCAAGGGTCTCCAAGGCTAGCCCATTACTGCTCCCCCTTGACTTGATAGGAAAACCTGAGGTACAACTTATTGGCATATTTAAAAATCAGATGTACAGCCAGGCATGGTGGCACATACCTGTAATTCCAGCACTCTGGAAGGCTGAGGCAGGAGGATCACAAATCTGAGCCCAGCCTGTACAATTTAGAGACCTTGTCTCAAAATAAAATTTAAAAATTAAAAAGGGGGATAGGGACATAGTTCAGTATAAAGGTCCAGTAAGCTAAAAAAAATTTTTTTTAAAGTGGATTTATCCAAAGAAAAACATTTACCTTTTAAAGTTAGCCATGAAAATCAAAACTCGGGTTTATTCAATTACATTCTCAATTTGATCTAACAAGAGAGCTACCTAAATATAACCCTATGTTAAAACAGTATACTAGGGCCAGGGATTTAGCTCAGTGGTTCTGGCGCCTGCCTCACAAGCGCAAGGTCCAGAGTTCAATCCCTGGTACCAAAAAAAAAAAAAAAAAAAAAAAACAGTATACTAAATTGCTTTATTTGAAGCAAAAATCAAATACAAACTATAAAGCAGCCTTAAATTTTTAAAAGAATTCAAAGGTCAGGTAGAAGTGTGATATTATAGGCAGCTAAATCAGATAGAAATAATACACAGAGAGGAACTAGGCTCTCAAAGAAGTGTGTGAAAAATAAAGACATCAGAATTCTCGCCGGAGGGGCATTTGAAGAAGGCCAGGCCTCAAGATGAAGACACATTTCAATCCCGGTACCAAAACAAACAAACAAAAAAAAGATGAAGACACAATGGCGAGGACTCCATGCCTCCCTAAGGGATAAACAGTAACTTGGGATTATACTATAATGAGCACCACCTGGTCCAGTGAGTCCAAATAGGCATCAGTTACCCAGGTGGGTGACCAGAGCATCTGGACCCAACCCTTCCCAAAGATGCCTTTGTTCTTTCCATGTACCCCTACCACGTGACTCAATTCCTGATTGGGTCAGTACCAGCTAAGCAGCTCTACTTGTAATTGATAAGATTTCCCTCCCCTTAAAATGGCCGCTACATATCATGGGTGCCTTCTCCTTCCCATAATGGCCTATTTCCCGCCACAAAGTCCCCTTCTTCTTCCCACAATCCACCCCATTCCTGCCTAAACCTAGCCCCCAAAATGCTTCTCCCATCAAAAGACAACCTTCTTCCCAACATGCCCCTCTTCCCACCAAAAGAGTAACCTGATACTTGCTCTCTCCCTGACAACCAATGATGTCACAAGTTCCTCCAATCCCTTGGTGGCACTCCTCACAAACCCTCCAATCCTTCTCATTACGTCGCCCAATTCCCCCAACCTCCATAAAGGTGCTCTAGTCCCTGCCACGCTGCAGCACTCTTTTGTTCAGAGGCAGCCCATCAGATTGTCCCTTCTCCTTAATAAAGGCTTGTTGTGGTACTGGTCTGGTCTTGGTTTTCGGCTCTTTTACCTGACAGTAATCCTATAGGTTGATTATGGTTTGACCCACGTTGTTCCCACATTGTGACCTTGCTGTATTAACCCTGGCAAAGGCCCTCAATGGTGACCCACTCCTGTCTCAGGAGCTACGTCTGAATAAACCTTTCCTAGTCTTACCCTCTGTTGTTCCTTGGAATTCATTCTTCAGTTTCGAGGGACACAAACTCAACACATCTGACATCTGGCAGGTTGGGAGTCATATTTTTCCTCTATCAATATTACTGCTTCAAGGGTCGGAGATTTAGCTCAGTGGTTTCGCCGCCTGCTGCGCAACCTCAAGGACCTGAGTTCGATCCCCGGTACCAAAAAACAAACAAACAAAAAGAAAAACAAAACAAAAATAAATAAATAAATACTTTAATGTCACTTTGAGAAACATTCTAAAACTTCCACAGGAAATCATTTACAAGAAGCAAAGCCACAGACATACACCTTATAAGGAAGTTTAGATAGCATCTTATTTAACCTAATACTAGAATTTTTCTATAATACTGACTGAATAACTGATTTTAAAAAGAATTTCAACATTTATATGCTCAATATGCCTGCCTGTAAACTATGTAGCCTAATCACTTTAATAACACTATCACTGTCTGAAAGAAATTCAATTTACTTCTTAGAATTAATTTTCAATACAGTGTGTAAACCTTCAAGTACACACACAAATTACAAAAAGGAAAACTGCTTTCCTTATGTTATTATTCACTGCTTTTGATGAAAGTCAGAAGCCCCCACACTATTCCCCTGGATGTAAAGGGGGTAGAGACTGTTTCCCAAATGCATCCTTACAAGGATGAGAGCTGCCCACAGGAAATGGGATGCTTAGAAGAATGTGACCAGAGGACCTGGGTGCAGCTCTCAAAGAAATAATTTTTAAATGCTTGGAATAGAGGATTGAGTATAGTCTCTCAAAAAGCCTTTTCTGTATTTTTTTTCTGGTACTGGGAATCAAACTCAGGACCTTGTGCTTGCCAGGAAGGCTTAGTTCCACTGAGCTAAATCCCTAGCCCCCTAAATGTGTGCCTCTTCCCCCACCCCCAGCCTCGGTACCTGGGATCGAACTCAGCACCTTGTGCTTTCGAGGCAGGCACAGCACCACGGAGCTAAATCCCCAGCCCTCAAAAAGCCTATTCTGAAAAATGTTCACTTAGATGTATAAGTTCAAGTAGGCATGTTTAAAAAATTTTTATTGAACACTACCAAACACATCACTATTAATAATAAAGGAAGGCATACCTGTGACTGCTCTCTTTGACAGCCTGGGTTGTATTTGGTCACTTCACTCTCCAGAGAAATGTAAAACATTTCTCTAACATCTGGCTCTGGTAGGAACCACCAGAAAACTTTCAAATCTACAGAAAGGAATAAAAATGTCCCACAATCATTAATAAGTTACAAAACCCAACCTACATTTCTCTGTTTTCTCCCCTCCCATATACCACTGCATAGTGTGCATTGAGCTTTCCTCAGACTGCATTTATCTTTATGATAAAAACAAAGGAATGAATGAATGATAAATAATGAATCTTAATTTAGAAATATGAACGCTAGCCAAAAATGAGAAAAGCCTGCTGGCTAGCAGAAGGTAATGAAGAACTCTTCTAAGAGATGTAAAGTAATTATATGCTTCTTTCAGAAGAGAATAAAAAATGTGAAACTAAATCCACATGCCTGAATCAACAGCATCATACTGAAGACTATGACAATGTGATATAAAATAGCAAACAAGGGACCACAGGTAATTTTTATAAACAACTTTCAAAAAACGTACAATACTCCCAAAATAACCAGATACCTCTGACCTCTCTAGACACTAATACTTGAAAGTTCAGTTTTTTGCCATCCCACAGGCAAAATCTGCTTTGGTCTCAGACAGGCACCTCATACCATCAGGCCTAACTGGCAAGATAAGTTTCACAACACAAATGCAGGGCTTCATCCTTACTGCACAACCAGAAAAACATGAGTTGGAAGGAAGGAAGCTGGGAATTACTCTACCTGAAGAAATACAAAGAACAAAAGATAGCAGGGCACCAATAAAAACATTTAAAATGACTAACCAGAACACTCAGGTACAAAAGGCAGAAACTGAAGTAAATACTAAGCAAAGTCCCAAAGCCATTATTTAACATCACAATAGGTGGAAGCTAGAGAAAATCTGCCAGAAAGAACATCTTTTTAAGAAAACAGTAAATAGGGGCCAGGGATTTAGTTCAGTGGCACTGCACCTGCCTGGCAAATGTAAGGTCCTGAGTTCGATTTCCAATATCCAAAAAAGAAAACAGTAAATATTACACTTAAATGTTTAAAATGGAAACAATTTTAGAGCCCAAAAGAAGACCAAAAAAAAAAAGAAAGAAAGAAAGAAAGAATAGAAGGGAAAAAAATGGAAACAAAGCTTTTGTAAATACAAAGGGGAAGAAGATGTTGAGGGGAGGGAAAATAAGAATCAATCAAGATATATCATGTACAGGTACAAATTCCCTACAATGAATGTGATCATTATGTACATCAAAAGTGTGCCAATGAAATTAATTTTTAAAAATAGCCAACAGAGGAACAGTCAAGTAATTTGGCACAACCACATAATTTATATAACCATAATTCTGTCAGCTATCAACAAATTTTATGAGTTTAAAATACAAAAAGAAAAATGAAAAATCAGGGTTCAATGTTGTAATTACATAATCAGGGTACAATGTTGTAATTACATATAATCACAACTATTTACAGAAAATCAAAAGACAAGATGTAAATCTCTTCTGATATAGTTATAAATAGTAGGCAAAATATTTCCTCATCTTTACACCAGTGACGGTAACTCAGGTCAGAGTCTTGTGGAACAAAAACATGTTTCAAAATCTCTATATTCTAAGTAGTTCCCAAGACCAAGTGGTGAGCCCACTCCTTGATGTCACAATTTTTATACAATAGCCCAACATAAGATGGTTCCCTATAAGTCACTATAAGAGGGTGTGTGTGTGAGAGCATGCGTGTGTGCACGTGTGTTTAACCTACAGATGGCCTCAAAAGGTTATAATACATTGTAACATACACTTCATAAAAGAAAAAAAGGGGATGAAATAGCACAATATGACCTTAATCCTCAAAACTGGGCACAGTATAGTGCCATACACCCGTAATCCCAGACCTCAACAGGCTGAAGCAGGAAGATTACAAATTTAAAGCCAGTTTAGGCAATTTAGCATGACCCATCTCAAATTTTTAAAAATTAGCTAGGTGTGATGGCACACAATGGTAATACCAGCACTGAGGAGGATGAGGCAGGAGGATCACATGAGTTCGAGTCCAGCCCAGGCTATATAATAAATTCAAGGCCAACCTGAACAAGACTCTAGCAAGACTCTTTCAAAAAAGCCAAAAGTAAAGAGTAAAATAAACCAAATTAAATAACGATTAAAAGGGCTGGGTTGTAGCTTAGTGTCCACAGATTGCCCCTGGATTCAATCCCCAGAACCCCAAAAAAGAATAGGACAAGACCCCAGGCATAACAGCAGTATTGACTGGATGGACAGGAGAAGGGTGGGATATGAAAAGGTTAACATTTCACATGCAAATAAAGAAGTTCTTCATAGTCAGATTTCCACAGTATGTCCAAATCAGCCTTCTGCACTTTAATCAATTAATGGCTTATCAGGTACCTGGGAACTAGGATACCACCTCATAGTCAAGTCTCTGGGTATTTAACTGGAAGAAGTTTTGCAAGTACTATTTCCAAAATCCCACATCAACAATTGTATCATCACATACTGAAGAGATACAGGCTCTTCTGCTGCCTCTTAAAAATTATAGATTGCTTCCAGATGCTTTTCAAGTGATTTTGAGCCTTTCCTCATTCTGCAACTCATGAATTATGAAAGGGCAACTCTAATTCATGAGACATACTTCTCACACCTCCATGCCCACTATATATTCTCCTCTTGCACTCAGTTTTAGGCACTCACACAAATGCTTTTACTTAGGTAATAAGGCATTGCTATGCATCAGTACAGGCTTTACTAACAGCTACTTTTATACTTCACCATCAAGACTTCGCCAGCAGCAACACTTCGCAACTTCAAAGGAGGCCAGGTCCTTTGACAGTAATGTACAGGATGACATAAAAACCAAGGTTAAACAGGATACAAGTAGACTGAGGGGACTTTCTTAAAATTCACGGGTTCCTGATAAGTCCCTAGGTTGTCATCTCATTTAAAAACAAAATACGTCTTCTGCTAAACAGGGAGGACAAGGGCAGTTAACAACTCAGCCACGCTCAGCGCTCTCCCTAGGCAAGTGCTTTCCTTCTCACAAAACATTCCACCTCCATGGAATAAAATCACATCCAGCCTTACAATCCTTCTGTGTAACAGCTATGTCACAGTTCTAATTTCAACAGAGGAACAAAATTTAAAGCTCACTTCTAGATGGCATAAATTCAGTAAATTTAGACCTCCACTGTGCAAGGTTTAAAAATCTGCTAATAGGCAGAATACGCAAAAAACACAGCAAGACCAACAAGTGAGCACTGTTCTAGGGTTTGGGAAGATGATTTCTATCTACATTGTGGATTTCTCTCTGTATCAGAGAAACAAATGTTACGGGCACTTGTGCGAGAGGTGTGGATTTCTTCAAATTACTGCATTAGTTGAGCTGTGATATGATCAAGTGCTTTCCTGAAGGGTAATTAACAAATTAACCAATGAAGAGAGAAGTGTCAAACAATTCAACAAGTTTTCAAATATATGAAGCTGACTATGAGATAAGTATTGAAAAATTTCATTCTCCAAAAGGGCTGACCTGGGACAGGTGATACATTATACGTATTCACGTGTACAAACCTGCAGAGTTGAACAAAATTTTCCACACAGGCCCACAATCTTCATTGACCATTAAACACATAACAATAACTTAAGAGTCTTAAAATTTTTAGACCTATACTGATCGCTGAAATTGAATCCCTGAATTTTACACACGACAAAACTGAAGAACAGGGAGCCTAAGTGACCTATTCAAAATTAAGTAGACAGAAAATGGTGAAGACAGAGGTAGCTGTGTATCTTCTAACTCCCTCAGTGATGCTGCCTACTCTCTCAGCATCAAGATCACAATTCCTCAGCAATCTATCCATTCAGTTGATTTCATTCCTCCACTGACCAGCAATCCTAGGCTTTAGGGAAAGCAAATCAATGAAGCTTCAATCTTCAACTTCCATCCAATCCCTGAGATCTCGTATTAATAATAAAGAATTTTCTTTTGTAAACAAAACCCCAGTGCAATTTGGATGACTTTGAGAAGGCCTCAAGTACAGAACAAATTAGTGAGTTGAAGATTATTACAAGAGGGAGGGAAAACAGAGACTACAGCATCTTACAAATAAATTAAGAATACAGGTTTATTAAAATGAAGGTGAACAAAACCAAATTCAAGTGTTTAAATGGCATTTTTCAATGTGAAAGTTACTCAAGATTTTTTTAAAAAACAGTAGTCACGGGCCGGGGATTTAGCTCAGTGGTTTCGCCACATGCTGTGCAAGCACAAGGACCCGAGTTCGATCCCCAGTACCTAAAAAAACAGTAGTCACTGTTTAAAGTTCTGTAATCAGAACTTCTGAAAAATGCTGTATTCTAAATTTGCTTCGTGAATACTCCCAAAGTACAATATGTGTGTCAAGGCTCTAAGTAGGCCTACAGAAAAGAAGTTGCTTAGTTTTGTTTAGCTCAATGTTTCCCAAAGTTGCTTGATATCTCTGATTTGCAGAAAGTATCCTGACATCCACCAAGAAACACACTTCAGGGAGCATCCTCAGCATCACTGATGAAGAACCTAAGCGTGACGTCCACTAAGCAGTATCTATAATGAGACAAGGTTCTTCTTCTAGACTCAACTGTAAAAATCATCTCATGAAGAACTTCATGATTACAATGAAAATAACCACCACCAAAATGTAGTAAGTGCTGAGGGCAAACCACATGCTAAGTGTAAATGTTTTTTTTGAGAAGAGGCTAGGTGTGTTCTCAGCCACCAAACTGCCCTCCCCAGAAGCTGTATCTAATCATATATAAACAAAATAACTTTACACAAATAAACATATTACATACATGGTTCCCTACCTTCCATTTTCCCCCAAACAACATACACTGACAATGTTTACAAATTGCCACAAAAAGAGGTTCACAGGTATTTTTTGACTGGTCTTTCCACTGCCCAGCCATAAATAATGCAATTACTCAGCATCCCACTGAGTGGGATGGTTATCTCCAGTCTTTACTCAGTGTAAATACTATTAGAATGAGTATCTTCATATATAAATCATTTTTCCATGCATGAATATGTAGGTATATAGAGGACA